AAAATAGCAAAAAAAAAAGTTGTTTCTACTGAAAAGGTTACAAGAATTATGTAAAAATCTGGAGACCATCATGAAAAAAACATTTGAATTTTTAAAAAAAATAATAGGGACCCACCCTGAGAGACACCCTGCTCAGGGCACAGCCACAGTCTCTGGTCCCCTGTGCTCTCCCCAGTCCTTCATCACCCCAATCCCTCCATCCTCCCCTCTCCCTCCCCTCCTAAATCTATCCAAGGTCCCCACACTAGTGGCTGAGTTTCCTCCTATCCCCTATTTCTAGAAAATAAAAGGAAGAAATGATAATAAATGCTGTGAGACTGAAGAGAAGGGAACCCTTACACAGTGTCAGCTAGAATATAAACTAATTTGGTCATTTTGGAAGTTTCTCATCTACACCACTCCTGAGTATTCACCCAAAAGACTCAAAGTCAACACAGCATAGAAATATTTGTACATCCATATTTATTGCCTCACTATTCATAACAGCTGAGTTATAGAACTAACCCAGGAGACTAATGACAAAAAAATGATTGTGGAAAATGTGGTATGCACACAATGGAACGTTTAATGATGTTGTGCTGTTCGAAAAAAAAAATGGATATAACTGGGGTTAATCATAGTAAATGAATTAAGTCAATATCAGAAAGAAAAATATGTTTGTCTCATCTATAGTTTCTAGATCTTATAGAGATTGTAGAAAATTTTCTAGAGCAGCAGTTCTCAATCTGTGGGTTGTGACCCCTTTGGGGGGGCTCGAACGACCCTTTAATGGGTCGCCTAAGACCGTCAGAAAACACAGATATTTACAATATAATCCATAACAGTAGCAAAATTACAGTTATGAAGTAGCAACAAAAATAATTTTATGTTTGGGGGTCACCACAACATGAGGAACTGTGTTAAAGGGTCACAGAATTAGGAAGGATGAGAGCCATTGGTCTAAGGGGACAAAGAAGATTACAAGAAGAGAGAAGGGAGAGAAAAAAAAGGTAGGAGGATATGAGGAAGAAATATGTTCAATATAGATACAAACACTTGTGCCAAAGGATACAAACAACCAAAACTAAACTAAAAGCATCAAGAAAACAGCCTACCAGGAAATGTTTTAAGTATGTGCTGTGCTGTGCCAGAGCAAACAAAGTACACCATTACCATGGAAACACCATTCACATCAATGCTTATCCCTGGTATGCCTGTAGTTTATTTTGTAACAAGAAGGCGATGTTTTATCATATAAAACTAAAGGGCCCTGACTGCTGCCTCACAACAATGCATATACCAAAAACTAAGAGTCAGAAATATGTGATTGGGTTTGGCAAGTGGTTTTAAAATAGAAGGAAAAGAAAAGCTGGGAGATTGAGTACATATAACTTTCTTTATCAAGGCAGTGAATTTCATAGCTCCTTCTCAAAAAGCAGAGTTTATAAATTCCTCCTCCCCAAAAGCAGAGATGAAAGAGAAATAGAGAAAAGAGTCACTCCAAAGGGGCAATGTGTAAAAACAAAACACCCAACTGTAAGTCTTTTGGTTTTTTTTTTATGCTGTATATATTTTTATTTGATCTCACTGTTTTATGGCACATTAAGTTCATCAATTAAATAAGTGTATGCTAAAATCAAGTATCATTTTCTCTAATAAGTGGGCAAGCTTAGGGTAACTAAAACTTGAAGAAATCAGACTGAATGAGCTATGCAAAAAGTTTAATTCAAGAAAGAACAAGTGAGACATAGTAAATCACCACTGTGTGGCACAGACTTGTGGCACTGGAAATAACACAGGGCTGATGCCTAAAGAAAGTCGCAATGTCAACTTGAAAATAAAAGGTTCATTTCCCTTCTTCTGAATAACAAGCAAGTGATGAAATTGTAGAAATCATATCTTGCTTTTTCTTGTTGAATTGCAGGGCTAAATAGTCCACTTGAAATAACTCCATGTTTAATGTACAGGACCACACACCCTCCTAGTGCAACACTGGCTGAATCTCATAGATGCTGGAACACTATGCTTTTATTTTTTATTTCAAGAAATTAAAATGTTATCCCTTTTGATTTTTATTCAACACATTAGCTGTCCATGAGAATGTTAATTTTCATGTACTTATATAATACGTAATGTATCTTTTGTTAGCGAGCTCCAGCTTAATTTCAGAGAAGATGTGTGCTATGGCTCTGATGAGCTTTTAGTTTGTTGAGATTTGTTTTGTAGACAAACATGGGAATGTAATTCTTGTGCAGACAAGAAGACATTATGTTCTGTAACCATCAGATATTCTTCATGTGTTTGTTAGGTTTATGACCTAATACCAAGTTCTTTCCTGACTATTTTCTGTGTGAACTGCCCACTGATAATAGCAGAGTGTTAATTTCCTGACTAGAATATTAGAGTCCATATCTTATCTCGAATAAAGGAATGTTTGATTAATATAATTGAGTGTTCCAGTAAGGTGTTTATAAATACTTGTTTTATACATCTACTTATATTAAATATTTATTTAATCAAGTGGTGATTAAATAGACCTTGTTGGTTTCATATTATACTTTCTAACTTAAAGTCTATTTCAAATCAGTACCATTGTCCTTTACTTTTGAGTTCTGTTCATACGTTGTATATTTTTCCACTACTACTTCTTAAGTGTATCCGTGACTTTGCCAATCGTGAGCCCTCTGAAGATGTAAGTAGAACAGTTAGCTCATCAGGGCAGCAGAAGTCTTGGTGCCTGGAGTGTTCAGGCAGAAACTTCTCACATCTTCACAGAACAAGTAACAGAGATAGAGTAGGAAGCAGGGCTAGTTTAAGAAGCTCAGGACCTACTTCCAGAGCCTCAATACATTCCACAAGGCTATACTTTCTAGAGTTTCAACAGCCTCCCAAAATAGTACCACCAGCAAGGAGTCAAGTATTCAAACACACGGGGCTGTGGGAGACATTGCACTCAAACCCTAACAATAAAGGACTGTGGAGATAGGAAGCACGAAGAGAGACAGGAGAGGTCATAGACGCATACAGGGAAAGCAGAAGGGAAATTCCTGGGGAGTGGGGGGACCAGCAAGATGGGGAAACAGGGACAGGGGAGACTGTGGAATGCTGAACAACAGACAAGTCTGATAAATATGTATTAAAGTTCCATAATGAAATCAGCTACTTTATAAGCCAAAAAATAAAAATAAAAATAATAATGAAATCTGTAAAAATAATAATGAAATCTGTAAAAATGAACTGCCATCGCTGCTACCTCCAGCTTCAGTATGAATTTAACCAAGATTCCCAGTCAATCATTGTGGATGCAAATATGTGCCAATCAATAATTCTGAATTTTTTTTGTTTTCAGTTGTGTTTTTTTAATGTTAAACTTAGTTGTTTTGTTACTGTTTTCTTAGGTTATTACATAGAAGAAATCTAAAGATACAGAATTATACTATAGAAAGTTTTGTCATAAAAACTGGGACACATTATAGCTAGCGGGCAAATTAAAGAACTAAGTCATAAGCCTTCCAGCTGCCTGATGAGAAATCAACCTGGGTCCAGTGAAACTAAAATGCATCCGGTTTCAATACCGAAAACCCAGTCCCTGTTACTGACCCAGGCCACACACATCCCAGTGAAAACTGCCCTTGAGCGCCTCACCACTGCCATCTTGAGGAGAGAGACAAGAACTACGTAGGAAAGGCTTAGCCACGAGGAAGTAGAATTTGTACTAGCACTCACTCCTACCGTTTCAATATTTCATTTGTAAGGATTTATTCTTCCTCACATGCTCTCTCAGATTGCCTTTTCCTCCCTGCTTTTCTTATTTATTTCTAAGGAAACTCAGATGACTTTTTTTTTTCATAACTATCATGATAGTACTCCTCCAAGTTCTCTTCAGTTTATATTTGTTATATTTTATCTTTAGCAACTTTCTGAAGCCTCATCCACTCACTCCTGTCAACCAACTCTCAGGTACTTAGTTGCATACAGAATTACCCATGAAACACAAGAGTCGTGTGTGTCATCATTTAGGAGATGAGTAAATCTCCTGTTTCTTATTCTCATTCATATCACCAGTGTCTGCTTTCTGTTCTCTGCTCACCTGCACTGGGTGTGATAGCAGATCTTGGTTGTCAAAGTCACTCGCCTGGGAGGAGGGGGCCATAGTTGAGGAATTGCCTCTATCAAATTCGACATGTCTATGGGGCATTTTCTTTTTCTTTTTTCTCTTACTTCACAGACTATATTTTTAAACCCACAAAATGAAATGAGATTGCAAAGGAAAACAATCATGTTGAAACACAGCTGTGCTTCACGGGGAAACGGAATTGACGATACACACATTTCAAAACACCGATATTAAAAAAACAAGGTGAGAACTTGTCAACGAAAACTTCAAATAAACTGCAATAAACTTTCTATGTGTGTATTTTTTTTCAGTTCTTGTTAATTCTGCAAATTTGGATGACATACTCTAATTACTGAACCAGGAATGTTGATGCTAGAAAAGAAGAAAACCATTTTTAAATGATTAAAGATAGATTAGCATAAACAAATATATTAAACAATGAAACCATATCCAAAAGAAGCATGTCTTGATTGCTAATTGATACAGGAGGGCCAGCACGGGAAGCAGTGCCATCCATGGCAGGTGGTCCTGAGCTGTATAAGAAATGTAGTTGATTGTGAGTCTAATTGGAAGTGGCCATTCTCCGTGGTCTCTGAAATGAATGATAAACGGCACTGGTGGTGGCACTGGTTACCTACCCGAGGAAAGGTCACGGTCACGACAAAACCGTTTTATTAGGAGGAAGGGGTGGGGAAGCACGTGAGGAGAGCAGAAGGAAAGGTAGTGGGGTGGGGGAGAGAGAGCAGAGCAGAGAGAGAGGGTGGGGTCTGTGGGGCCTTTTAAGGGTTCCCGGTGAAGCGGGCTTACATAGCTACACCACGCACGTGCTGATTGTGTGATCATGCTGCGCACACGTAGTCGCCGGCGCATACGTAGTCGCCAGTGTACACTGATGATGTAAGACGCGAGACCCTTTGCTCAACTCCTGAACTGTGCACGTGCGGCCATGCAGCTCGAGTGAGAGCAGAATTCTAACAGTCTCTGCTTCAGTTTCTCCTCCCAGAACCTGCCTCGGGTTTCCTCGACGACAGACTGTAACCTTGTAAACTGCGTTAAACCCTTTCTTTCCCAAGATGCTATAGGTCATGGTGTTTATCAAAGCCTTAGAAACTAAACTAGAAGAGTAAGTACGTAGAGGATTTCTTATCTACCTCCAGCAGAAATGCGCATCTTCATGTCACTCTTGTCACATGCTGTGACAAGTCCCTCAGGGACCTGTATCCACCAGAGAAATGCCAGCACTCTACCACATGCATGCTTATTCTCTCTGCCTAATGTTACGGCGCTTTAATGGATGACTTCACACATTTAAACTCACACTATTTAAAAGTGGTGTGCTGGATAGTCTTATGCCAACTTGACCCAAGCTGAAATCATCTAAAAGGAGGGAAACTCAACTGAGAAAATGCCTCCATAAGATCTGGGTGAAGCGTATTTTCTTAATTAGTGATTGATGAGGGAGGACCCAGCCCATTGTGGATCATGCCATCCCTGGGCTGATGGCCCAAGGTTCTATAAGAAATCAGGCTGAGCAAGCCATGAGGAGCAAGCCAGTAAGCAGCAGCCCTCCATGGTCTGCCTCCAGGCTCCTGCCCTGCTTGAGTTCCTGCCCTGACTTCCTTCAGTGATAGACTAAAATATGGAAGTGTAATCCAAATAAACTTGCTTTTCTCGCTTTTCTCTCCAACTTTCTTTTTTTTTTTTTTTGGTTTTTTCGAGACAGGGTTTCTCTGCGTAGTTTTGCGCCTTTCCTGGAGCTCACTTGGTAGCCCAGGCTGGCCTCGAACTCACAGCGATCCGCCTGCTTCTGCCTCCCGAGTGCTGGGATTAAAGGCGTGCGCCACCACCGCCCGGCCTCTCCAACTTTCTTTTTGGCCATGGTGTTTCAGCACAGCAATAGAAACTCTACAGTTACTATTGATCACTAATTGAGAAAATGCCTTAAAGCTGGATATCATGGAGGCATTTCCTCAACTGAGGCTCCCTCAGTTGATGACTCTAGCTGGTGTTAATTTGACACATAAAAATGAGCCAGTACAATTGACACACAAACATATCACTATTAAGTCACGACCCTTCCTTTCTTATTCATCCCCAATATCTCACGTTAAAATCATAATTTTAAAAGTCCCTCAGTCTTTACAAATCCAAACATTAAAATTTTATTCTCTAAAATATCTGATCTCTTTTAAAAGTTCAAGTCTTCCATCTGTGGGCTCCTTTAAAAATCAAAATTAAATACCTTCTTCAAGAGGGAACAACAAGGGCACCATTACAATCTGAACCAAGCAAAATCAAACTCCAACAGTATAAATAACTCAATGTCCAATTATCTGGGATTCACTCACAATTTTCTGGACTCCTCCAAAGGGCTTGGGTCACTTCTCCAGCTCTGCCCTCTGTAGCACACACAGCTTGTCTTCTAGGCTCCAGCTGGCTCTCCTGCTGCTACTGTTCTTGGTGGTCATCCCATGGTACTGGCATCTCCAAAATGCTGGGGTCATCAGCTGCAACTTGACTGCACTTTCACCAATAGACTCTCATAGGTTCTCTCCATGGTGCCAATCCTCAACTTCTTTGCATGACCCCTTCAGTCCTGGCCCTTCAACTGTCACTGAAGCTGCACCTTCACCAATGGCTTTTCCTGACCTCTCACAGTGCCAAACCTTAGCTGCTCGCTATGACCCCTTTATGCCTTCAAAACCAGTATTCCCTGGGTGACTCTTACACATTTATCAAGTTCAGTACAACCTCAGCCACCTCTGGAACACAGCTTCTCTGTGCTCCCAGGAAACACTTCCCAGAAGATTTCACCTCAGTGATGCTGGTCTCTTCTTAATCACCACAAATTTCTTAGCTCCAGCTGAACAGCATCAAGTATCCCAGCAAAGCAAAGTTTCACTTTAGTAGTTCTGGTATCTTGTTAATCACAGCTAATTCTACAGTCCCAGCTAACCAGAACCACAGAATCTTAATTCAAAATAACAAATGGCCCCAATAGAGTGTTTTAAATTCCCTCTGAAATTTTGCAAGCCAAGCTCTCAACATCTTTATCTTCCAAGTTCCCACAGAACATCCCACAGAGCTCTTAACACTCAAAGGTTCTTCTAGCCAAAGTTCCAAAGTCCTTCCACAGTCCTCCCCAAAACATGGTCATGTGTGTCACCGCAATACCCCAATATGCTGGTACCATTTGTCTTCTATTGCTATGCTGAACACCATGACCAAAAAGCAAGCTGGGAAGGAAAGGGTTTATTTGGCCATAGTCCACCATTGAAGGAAGTCAGGACAGGAACTCAAGCAGAGTTGGAACTGGAAGCAGGAGCTGATACAGAGGCCATGGAGGAGAGCTGCTTACTGGCTTGCTTTTTCTGGCTTGCTCAGTCTGCCTTCTTATAGAACCCAGGACCACCAACCAGTCCAGGGATGACACCATCCATCATGGGCTGGGTCCTCCCGCTTTGATCTCTAATTGAGAAAATGTCTTCCAGATAGATCTCATGGAAGCATTTCCTCAACTGAGACTCCTTCCTCTCTGACTCTAGCCTGTCAATATGGCACACAAAACCAGCCAGTACATAAGACAGGAGGACTTCATATTTCCATATTCTAATAGTCTTTTGTGGGGACCTCTGCAAACACTATTGTCAGCAGAGTAATGATCCAAATGAGGTAAGAAGGAAGTCTGGTTCGACATGACTCAGTAGCCTGTGTTGGTTCATGCTTCTAGAGTGTAACACTGGGCAGTTTATTTTAGGCATATTTAAACACAGCACAATTTTGGAAAAAAGTTTCCTGATGCTAATTAACTCAATCCCATGTGTACAACAAAGCTTAAGACATGTTTACATTGAAACTCTTTACAAAATACATATGCCTTTTTCCATAAAGATGGGGTCTATTGATTCAGAAATAATGCTCAAGATAAGAGTCTAGGAAGAATGGCTAAGATAAATATAATGCCTGTGGGAGTCAGGAGTGGCCTGGTCCCAAGGTAACATAGAAGTCACCTAGGCTGTTGTGGCATCTTCTATAAGGATGGATTTTATTGACTGAGAAGCAATGCTCAAGATCTAGGGAGAGAGAGTCTAGAATAAACAAACATAGTAGTCTTGGGAATTCCGATGAATTCTGGCCCTACAGAAAGCAAAGATGACCAGGTTATAAACTATGTCCACTTCCAGCTTTATGGATGTAAAAGCAGGACTATATCTCCCACATTGAGGAGACAAGCCTTTGTGTTTAGTATTCCTGGTTTCCAGGTGCTCATTTGTGAGCACAAGGACCCTGTGCCCTCTACAGTACTTGATTTTGTTTGACTAATTACCATTGATCTGATAAGTGTTTAACAATGAAGTACTCCATTTTAATTTGAATTTTCTGGTTCCTGGTGGTGATGTGCTCACTAGTCATTTCATTTGTCCTTCATACAATACAATAGTGTATTTCTATCCTTTGCCCATTTTTAATCTAAATTTCTTGACCATATCACTGATAAAATAGTTCCAATGTATACTCTAGATATTAATCCTTGGTCAACATGGCAAAATATTTAGTTATGTTATTAATAATAATGGCTGATGAGATCAGGCACATTCAGTGCCACAGCTGTAGACATATCCCAGCCCTACTAAAGAGCTATCAGCAGTTGATGGCTACTGAGGAGAAAGACTCACTCTCCATTGAGAACGTGGCTGTAGATAGGTTGCTCATGGCCATATACTGTTCGCAGAAGGGCAGTAGTCATTTAGTGGATTATTAATAACAAGTTTTTAAAATGAGGGAACAGGTGTTTTGGGTCTCTGGTTCTTCCAGTCTGCCTGCTACTTTCCTGAGCCTTAGGTTTAGAGGTTGTATTCCAGACACACAAGGTGGGTGTGGGCACCCCACGGTCACTTGCTCTCTGCATTTTCACTAGGTGTGTATCTCTGTGAGAGTCTCCTTTATATGATCATTTTAATAGTACATTTTATTAAAGTATAATTACATAATGTCCCCCTTTTTCTTTTTCACTCCAGCTCTTGTGATTATGGTCTGTGGTGGTTTGAATGAGAATAGCCCCGTGGCTCTTATATTTTAATGCTTGGTTCTGAGTTAGTGGGCTATTTAGGAAGGATTAGGAGATATGGCCTTATTGGAGAAGTTATGTTACTGGGGAGTGGACTTTCAGGTTTTAAAGCTCGCCATTCTTGGCTAGCTCCCCCGCTCCTCTCTGTCTATCTTATGGTTGTCTTAACTTGCAAGTTCTCAGCTAGTGCTCTAGCTGCCTGCCTGCTACCATGCCCCCACCTAGATGGTCACAGACTTACTCTCCAAAACTGAAAGCAAGCCCACAATTAAATGCTTTCTTTTATAAGCTGCTTATAATGTAATATCATAACATTAATTAAAACATACTCAGATGGCTCTAAGACAGTAAATGTTACTGTTTCACTGTTATGTGATTAGTACAGTATATTAATATTGAATTATTTACTATTATTATGTTCTGTAGTATGTAATTCTTCCCTTTCATCCTTAACAATATGATTGTTATTGCTGGAGTTTAACCATATAACATATGGACTCTGAAATCATTCATTCTTTATCATTCTCTACACTTGGAGTCTACATTAAATTAAAGTCATCCACTTTTAATGTAAAAAAGAGACACACGATGAATAAATAAAGCATGTAATTAATCTTTCACAACTATCCTTTAACACAAAGAAGACTGTCAAATTATCTCTCGTGCCATTCATCACTGTCCTTTGTTTTCTGAGAAGAGTGGAGAGGTGTCCTTGATCCAGGTAACATGGCAGGACACATTTGATTAGTTCCTAGAGATACATATGAAAATGCCAAAAAAAAAAATACTACTCTACATATTTTAGTGCCTTAATTAGATTCTTTATTCTTGTGTTTCCTCTTCTGTTGCTCTTCTGCTATGGACCCCAGCTGCTTAGTGCTTTGGTAACAATGTATGACAGTACTAGTGGATACCGGGTCTCTAAACTAGAATTTAAGTCCCTTATCTAGTGATAAAAGATGTTTGACTTTTCTCCATTCTTTTTGCTCTAAGGTCTGATGACTCCTTATTACGGCTTCATTTACTACCTTGTAATCCCAACCAGGAACTTGAATTTAAAATCATGAGGATAAACAAAGCGGATTTGGGAGAACCATTTGGACAGAGTTAAGGTACTTTATGTAGCATCTATGACAATTAAATAAAACATATGTGCAAGATAACACAGAGTACCCACTTAATACTAATTGGTTACTGTTTCCTCCTTCTCAAAAAAAATCTCACTTTTGTGTCTTTTTGTGACCTATATTTACATCGTCTCCAACAGTTAAAAATCTTTACGTATTCCTTGGAGCCAACTCACATGTCACTTACTTAACTAATCATCCTGAGATTATCATTAAAGAATTTAGTTAGATAGTTAATTAGTTCTTTGAGGATAGTGACATTATTTCCTATAAACATTTCTTAAGAACAAGAATACAATGAGAACTCCAATTTTATAATAAATAATATCAAACTAGATCATGAGTTTGAATGTGGAGTCAGACACACTGGCTATTATAAGGTTCAATTTGTATTCAGTATAAGTCAAAATCTCAGTATGAAAAGTCAGCCAAAGGCCAGATTGTGGAGTGTCACTTATCAACCCAGCATTTAGGAAGAAGGGCCAGAAGGTTCTTGAGTACAGACTAGCTTGGACTATGTAGAGAGACTCTCATGAAAGGCAAAAACAAACTGAAAAAGCAAATTAAGGATCTAATATCAAAGGGGATAAGCACATGATTAAAGCACATACTCATAACTTAGAGTTGTTAACTTAAACCTACAACTTTCAAAATTAAAACTAGAGTTGGGTATTGGCCTTAAAAATGAAGCAATAGGGGATAAATTAATCATAGTCCTCTAGAAGAACAAATGATAGAAGAGATATCTAGAAGATAGAAATCATAGACACTGCCTGTCTCTCAATGGAAAGGCCAAGAATCCATGAAGTTGGTTGTCTCAGCTGCTCTTCAGTATTTCTTGGAATCCCAAAGAAGTAGGTCCTCATACCAATGAAGGGACGCTTCAGCAGCAGGACAGATGGACTTGCCAGTAAGAATGAGGGCATGCAGGCACAAAAGTGTCCTTCTTCCTCGTCTGCCACACCAGAAAGTGGCCCAGATTTAGGGTGTGTCTCCTGATATCAACTGATCCAGATTTAGAGAGGGCCTTCTCACCACCAATAATACAATCAAGAAAAAAATCCCTTACAGATGTGCCCAATTGCTTAGGTTTAGTCGATTCCAGAAGTGATCGAGTTGACAACCAAAATTAGCCGTCCCAGGGGTTTAGGAAGATGACTGGGGGTGTGGGGAGGTACATAGCTCCTGTGTTGTACCAAAAGACACTGAGGGAAAAAGTGTCAATTCTCATGGAATTCCAGGCACAATGGATTCCAGTTACAATGGGAAGTGTAATCCATGTAGTAGTTAAAATAAACTGGAATGCATAAACTCCATGTACTTTTGGCCTCTTAACATAAAGAGGACCGTTTCCTCACTGTGAGGAGCAACTGTGACTGTCTTAGGGTGTCTATTGCTGCAATGAAACAACATGACCAAAGAACAAGTCGGGGAGGAAAGGGCTTACTCAGCTTACACTTCCAGATCATAGTCCATCATTGGAGGAAGTCAGGACAAGAGCACAAGCAGAGCTGGAACCTGGAGTCAAGAGCTGATACAGAGGCCACGGAGGAGGAGAGCTGCTTACTGCCTTGCTTCCCACGGCTTGCTCAGTCTGCTTTTTTATAGAACCCAGGGCCACCAGCCCAAGGATAGCACCACCCACCCATGGGTTGGGCCCTCCCACAATGATCACTCAGTATTTCCTCAACTGAGTCTCCTTACTCTCTGATGACTCTAGCCTGCATCAAGTTGACACACAAGACCAGTGAGTACAGTGACCAACCAGAAAATAGCCATTTCCAATTCCAATATCAATACTACAATCTAGATCAGTGATATCAAACACTAAAAGTGTCTTCTCAATATAGACTGATTTGTATCCCCAGAGCCCACTGGCTCTGCATTAACTCATCATTTTAAGCCATCGTTTTCTCTTAAACTAGTCGTATTACACACACCACAGTCAAAGTAAAAATTCTAATGCTGTTGCAGTTTCTTTAACAGACAGAAGTACTGGAGATGGTATAAAATTATAAGCAACTTACAAAACTATCTTGGAAAGCACCACTTACCTGGTCCTTCAAATGTTTGTTTAATTAATATGATTTTAGTGGTAACAGTTACATGCTTACTGAGAGCACTTAATTAAGAAATACAATGATGAAATTAGTAAAGATACTAAAGGAAGCCATCTGGATATTCAGACTCTCCACCCATAATGCCTGTGTTCATGTTGTGTTTTTAAAGTACATCTAGGAACAATTTAGAGAGCTGAAGAGAGCTGATAGAGCAATACCAGATGCACTTTCCAAGCTGATTATGAAGCAGATGGTTTTATGATCACAGTTGTGTTGTAAAAGGTGCTATTCTATTATGTAAGATTCACATTTATGACACATGCTCCTCATTTAGCATAGTTCTCCTGTCAGAGTATCTCACACACTTCTTTCTTCACATCTGTTCAGTAAGTGTGCAGACTGATTCTCTTAGGAGGAGGGATGAATTTCCCAATTACATTGTTGAAAGAATGTTGTGTACATCGCCCTAATTTTCATATTGACATGATGACATCAGTGCATCTCACAGTACAGACAAGGATGGAAAAGCAACACAGATGTTTAAAAACCACGCTGGAATGTATCCATCTTACAAAATCTATAATCCATGTAACTAGTAAGATTTCATATGGCCATTTTGTTCTTTGTACAAAAAAACACTACAAGGTTGTTTGAGGTATGAGACAATCTAGAAGTAAATCTATATTAAGAACTATAATCAAGATTATTATCCTGAGAATCCTAAATAATAAATAACATCTGCCTTTACTTAACAATAATAGAAAACAAGTGTCTCCATCAAAATGGGGATACCTTTTTGAAGAAACTAATTGGGCAGCTGTGCCTTTTGTTTATACAGTAAATTTTATTTTTTTTTACTATTTTCAGATGCAGTAAAACTGCTAGCATAAGCTTTCCTTTTCAATAAACTCAAACTTACGTGTCTTTATAACCTGGCACTCTTCCCTGCCTAATCTGTGGAAGTAAATTAATTTCAGATCTTAGTGGGCTAGTGGGAATAATCCTACAATCTCAATTTGCTAGATTAGTGCTACTGGAAGAAAATATTCATTCAATTAGCTTTTCTTAACTACCTACAAATGTTCCTGGAATTGTCCTTGGGAAGAAAAATATAAGTGGATCCTTATACTTGCCTTCAATAATGAGGCAATATACATGTTTTTAAAGCCAGAAGAAAGGGGTTTTTCTTTTTGTTTTTTTGTTAGGGGCCAAAGGAAAATATTTAATTCTGTGTAGATAAAAGTTTCCTTTCCTTGTCGATCATGTCTCCTTTTGGCAACACAAAAACTCAGCAGCATCATAAAGTCCAGTCAACAGCTTGAACTTGGCACCCCCGTCCCTCCACCCCCATCAAACTACAGAATGGCAATTACATAGTTTAATAAAAATAGCAAAGTTAGTTACAAGTTTTCCACAGATAACTTAGCATCTGTGGCTTGGAGCTTTTACAATGACAAAATAACTCATTTTTTTTTTTACTAGCCCATACCAGAAATGGGAAATTTTTCTCTATATACTTAGCTTTACTATCTAAATATTATCTTTCAGCAACTCTACAGATGACCACTTTCTTGTGTTTATTTTTCTTCCCACTAGAATACATGGGCACAATGTATTTTAGACACCCTTCCCCCTCCCTCCTTCAAGTCCCCTTGTGTCTCCACTACCAGGCCCTCTTGAATTCATATTAGTATTGGCCATATCTACATGTATGTAGAACTTGTCCGTGAAGAAGCATTCTCCCTTCCTCTCAGTCATTGACTGCCTATCGTTTTTCATTTAGGGTTGGGACCCTATGTGGCAGGAGCCATGTGACTTCTTTGAGGAACAAGGCCTGAAAACAGCACAATGGCTCTTCTTATGGCAAGACCCTGGAGATCCTAGGCCACTTGGCAAAGACAGTTTGCTGTCTTTTTGGACAGTTTGCTGCTTAAATCCGGGCATGACCCCAAGAGCATGTGTGCTATCTGCTCTCCTCGCTTTCACTATGCTGGTCGTACTGCTAGCCGGAATGAGTCACAGTAGGTCATGAAGTTTAATATTACATATTTGCATAACTGTTGTAGAAAAAATGACTTTAACAATAAGAGTTTTAAAGAAATGTTATTGAATAGATGATATCAAGAGTAAATGGGAACAGTCTAGGAACAGGGAATGAAGCAGAATCATAGAAACCCACAGTCCCCTCATTTCTAATAGCTGTGCCAATACCCTGAGACATTAAGAGAAATAGACATAAGGACAAGGGATAAACAGTGCCAACTATTAAGAGTAAGTCTCACAGTTATATTGCCTATAGGATAAATAGAAAAAACCTGGTAAGCCCCAAGAGAAGATAGAATAGTACAGAATGTAGAATGGATTGATCCAGCTTCGGCTGGTGAGTTGATTGTGAGAACTCAGACCTTATCAGATATAAATATTAACCATAAGAGACAAAACTGTCTCTCACTCTGCATGATGCTGTAACTGCAAATTCTGCCAACTGGGCACACTGTTGTGCCTGTAGGAGTCTGTGGGAGACCAGCTCTGACCTGTTCCCACCTGTCGAAGAGTTCTTGGGTGGAGGAGAGAGAAATGAGAAAATATCAGATAGAAAGATAGACCTAGACGAAAAAAGAAAGAGACACAAGATAGCTTTGAGAGGGCCTGGGTCAATATCCAACAGCCTCAAAATTTATTCAAAATGGCTTTTTTATAATATGCCAAGTGGAGAGGCAAAAGACCTCCTCCTTGCAAGATCAAAGCACAGCCAAGTGTGGACCCTTCCAAACACCTGGTAACCACGCCCATGGCAAAATCATCTCCTTATGCACCCTGCTGGGTAAAGCAAGCTCAGACTCTCTGACTCTGAGTAATTTGGGCCCCCACATGTGCCTAGCCAGAAAAGTTCCTTTGTAGCATGCAAAAATGCTTATGCTTCTAACAGAAGAGATATAGATCAAAAAGGTAATGGATACCAGTGGGAAAGCTGGGGGATGGGAGAGGAAAGAGGAGAGGAATAAACTGGTAATTATTGTAAACGTTTTTAGAAACTTATAGGAAGGAAAACCGATTGTAAAATTGTTCATGCAAACCATCAAAACTGTTTAAATGAAGACAGCCCAGGCTATCCAAGGCCACTTGTTTGAACAACAGATGGTCACAATCTCTTCTTGGTGCTGACTTCACACATCCATCCCAGGTCATCAAACCTGTCTGGAGCAAGGGATTCCCCACATTCATAAAGAGAATTAACTACTACCATGTTGCTAAGTTGCTAATTTCCAACTGCCTTCTAAGTACTGATCCTGATACCCACGAGTAAGGGTAGCTCTCACACTTCATCAGAGACACTCCTCTTTGCAGTGGACAGAAGCTATTATAGAAACAAGCGTGGGTCAAAAAGGAGAGAGTAAGTAACAGTCCCATGTAGGACATCTATAACACAACCTCAACAATGAAAAGGGATATTGAAAGTTCTTAGCTCATAGCCGTGATGAGGGAGGAGGTAAATACATTGAAACTGATTTAAACACTATGCACATATATCTGTATCAGACTGTGCTGGCTAGTTTTATGTCAGCTTGAAATAAGGCAGTGGTTCTCAGCCTGTAGGTCACAACCCCTTTGGGGGTCAAAAGACCCGTCCACAGGGGTCACCTAAGACCATTGAAAACACAGATATCTACATTACAATTCATAACAGTAACAAAATTATACTTATGAAGTAGCAATGAAAATAATTTTATGGTTGGAGGTCATCATAACATGAGGAACGGTATTAAAGGGTTGCAGCATTAGGAAGGTTGAGAACCTCTGAGTGAGAGTCATCAGAGAGGAGGGAGTCTCAATTGAGAAATGCTTCCACAAGATCGGGCTATAGTAAATCCTGTAGGGCATTTTCTTAATTAGTGATTGGAATGGAAGGGTACAGCCCATTGTGGGTGGTGCCATCCCAGGCTGGTGGTGTTTCTGGGCTTTATAAGAAAGCAGACTGAACAAACTATGGAAAGCAAGCCAGTAAGCAGCCTCTGCATCAGCTCCTGCCTCCAGGTTCCCACTCTGAGTTCCTGCCCTCTCTGCTTTTGATGATGAAGTGTTATATGGAACTGTGAGTAAAACAAACCTTTTCCTCCCCAAGTTGCTTTTGGTCATAGTGTTTCCTCACAACAATAGTAACCCTAACTAGGACATAAGCATTACCTGGTGTTCCATTAATGTTCATTGTTATGTTTTATGTATATTTTGAAAGCACATTAAAAATGCCAAGTTGGGAAAGGATGGTGCTGCAGAGAATGTGCTGCATTTTACGGGGTGCCTGGGTCACTCTCCTGTGGGTAACCCCAATAACCTCATTGTTCCACAAAGTGAGACTTTATAGAATTATCCCTCCATTCTGTTGCTATCTGGTTGCATAGCTGCTTGTTCTCATATACAAGAAAAGGTATACATTGTAACTGTGGGGAATTCTTTTATACAATAAAGAACTGTTTCATAAATGGACATTTATATTTGGTATTATATTCAAACACTCTTATGTCATTAAACTCTTCTTACAGAGGCTGAGGATGTGCAGTGATACACTACTGCTACTAACCTATTAACTATATTAAAAGTATTAACCTTATGAAGCTTTCTCATGTCAAACACAATATGGAAATTAAAAAGTATAGTTACTGCTTGAAAATTAGAAAATAATGTCACATTCATTTCTGTGGATGGACCTTTAATTTCACACTGTTGCAGAAGATACTAAGAATCTTGAGTGCAAAGTAATATTAAAATATAAAACTGTAGCTTTTGGCTTCCATTGTTTATTACTCTGCTAATTTCATGAGTCCACTTTTTTCTCATTTCTGTTTAGATAAAGAAATCTACACTGAAAGCACATAAAATCACTTAATATTAAAATACTACTAAATTCATAACCTAAACTGGCATTTGTCAAACTACTTCTGTCGGTATATGGTTAGCATTCCGTGAAACATTCTCACAGTGTCAGATAAGTTTATTTCACCTGCTAAACTGTGCCCATCTATCTTTACTTCAGAGAGTATTCACTTACAATATTAACCCTTTGGCCTCTACAGAATATTGAGGAGTTTTGTTATATTTTGATTTTCAATTCATTATTAGTGTTTTTCTTATCATTGACTGGGTGTATGCTAAGCAAAACATAATTATGTTTGGCCACATACAAAATAATGAATTAAAAAGCATCTGTAACCCAGAATCCATCAGCTTCTTTCACTTAGACTCCATTTGTAACCATGCACTGAGGCTCTTTTTTTTAAAAAAAAAAAAATTTATTTACTTATTGTGCATACAGTATTCTGCCTGCATGTGGGCCTGCACACCAGAAGAGGGCACCAGATCTCATTACAGATGGTTGTGAGCCACCATGTGGTTGCTGGGAATTGAACTCAGGACCTCTGGAAGAATAGCCAGTGCTCTTAACCACTGAGCTATCTCTCCTTGTATCTCAATAGTGAAAACAATGGAGGCCCTCTAGCATGAGAGTCTATGTTGCTATAAAATAGTGCTTATCCTTCCAAGAACCTCATGACTACATAATTACAGAACCATTAAAATATATCTCTGAGCCAGACAGTGGTGGCACACGTCTTTAATCCCAGAACTTGGAATGCAGAACCAAGCAGATTTCTGTGAGTTCGAGGCCAGCCTGGTCTACAGAGCAAGTTCCAGGACAGCCAGGACTGCTATATAATAAAAACTTGTCTCAGAAAAACCAAAAAAAGAAAAAAAAAAACACTTCATCTCTTGTTTCATTCTAAGAGCAAAAACTGTACCAATCCTACTTAAAACTGATTTTTATTCTGATAAAGACATATAAAACATATATGATCAAACATATATAATCAGATACCACATCCAAAATCTAAAATAAATTAGGTCACCAAGGAATAAATGTTATATTTATATAGTTTTATATATTTTATTATATATATAGTTATATATATATATATATTTTATATATAGTTTTATAATTTCTTCCTTTCAAGTCTTTTAATTGCTTATTTTTTTCTTTTTTAAAAATAGTGTATGTACACACACTACATATATACATGAGAAAAGGAGTTAGACATAACTTCCTTCTCTCCCTTACTTTCTTTTTTTCTCCTATAATTAATTCTATTTTTACCCAGACAGCTTCATTTCTACTCTCATGTTATGACATGTTATAAATATATGATTTTATGTGTATCTATAAAATCTAGGAACTGTAAATGTGAGAAACCCAGTATGTATCTGTTATACTGCTTTTATTAACATGCTATCACTATCTCCAGTCAAATCCACTTCTCTGCAAACAATGTAACTTTGTTCTTTTTATGGTGAAAAATTCTACTGTACAGGTATATGGCATTTTTTTTTTTACCCAATCCTTGGCTGCTGGACACTTGAGGTCATTCCATAACTTAACAATTGTGAATAATGCTGGAATAACCATGGTGCACAAGTATCTCTGAGATAGATGAACTTGTAATTCTCCAGGGTAAAAAATACAACAGTATAAGTGGACCATATTGTCAATTGATTTTCAGTTTTTTAGAAACTTTCATAGTGACTGGACTAATTTATATTTTCACCAGCAGAGTATCGGGTTCAGTTTGGTCCACATCTTCATCAACATTCATCATTTTCTTAATGACTGTCATTCTGATTGGGGTAAGATGGATTTGCATTCCCTGTTGACTAATATAGTTGTATATTTTTTCATATATTTGTTGTTTGTTTATATTTCACCTTTTGAGAAGTGACTATCAATTCCTTGGCTTTTTGTTTTAGTTGGGTTGTTTGTTTAGTTCAATTGTTTAGTTTGGGGTTTTTATTGCTTAGTTTTTGAGTTCTTATATATTTTAGAAATGACTCTCCTGACAGATGTACAACTAAAAAGGTTTTCTCTCATTCTTTCAGCTGTCTTTTCACTCTATTACCTGTTTCCTTGGTTGTACAAAAGTCTTTTCATTTCATAATGTCCTATTTGTATATTATTGGCATCATTTCTCAAGCAACCCAAATCTTATTCAGAAAGGCTTTTACCTATGGTTCTAGCTTGACATGTTTTCTGTAATTTCTTTTCTAATTAGTTTCAGACCTTCATTAAAATCTCTGATAAATTTAAAGTTGATTTTTGTGCAGTGTGAGAAATAGGGCTCATTTCATTGTGCTATATTTGGACACTCAGTTCTACCAGAATCACTGTTGAAGAAGTTACCTTTTCTCCAAGTGCAGTTTTGGCATATTTGTCAAAAATCAGTTGTCTATCATTGTGTGAGTTTATATCTAGGTATTTTTGCCTATTCTGTTGATGTATATGTGAAAGTTGTTGACTATTGTATGCTAATTTTATATACTGTCACTTTGCTGAAAATGTTTTTTTCAGTTTTGTGATAGAGTCTTTGCAGTCTTTCTTATTTATAGAATTATATCATGTAAAAATAAGGATACTTCTTTCATCTATTAAGAGAAATTAAATTCACTGGTACATAGGTGGAGCTGAAAACAATCATTCAGAGTGAGACAACCCAAACCCAGAAAGACAAATGTCTCATATTTTCTCTCATCTGTGGATGTTAGCGTTAAATCTCCAGATATGTGTGTTTTGTGTCCATATCCATAAAGGTCAGGAAATTATTAAAGGGCATGGGGAAGTACATTCGAGGGTCGGGAGATAGAATGAAAGGTATAAGGGGTTAAAAGGCAATAGGAAGGATTGAACTGAGGTGAGGGAACAGAGAGTAGAGTAGTGGGGGGAGTAGATAAAGAGATTAATAACATGAAAGAGCTTTTGGAAAAATTGGAAACCTACTGATGGAGAAGCTTCTCCCTAAATAGTAAGGGAGCCAAGCTTTCTGTATGGCAGGCTACCCTATAGGAAGAGGTCTTTGCTTTGGGAAGCTGCATATATTTTTAGCTGTCCCAGATATATTTGTCAGGGTTCTCTAGAAGAACAGAACTGATAGAATGAATATATACAGGATTTTATTACAGTAGTTTACGGGCTGTGCTCAAGCTAGTCCAACAATGGCTATCTACCCACGGAAAGTCCAGGATCCAGTAGTGGTTTGGTCCACAAGGTTAGATATCACAGCTGGTCTTCAGTATACACTGGAATCCTGAACAAGTAGGTTCTGGTGCCAGTAAAGAAATAAACTTTCTAGCGAGAACAAGGGCAAGCAGGCAAAGAGCAAAAGCTTCCTTCTTCCATGTCCTTCATATATCCTGTCACTAGAAGGTGTGACCAGATTAAAGGTGGATTGTCCCATTTCAAATGATTTAATTAAGAAAAATCCATCACAAGTGTACCCAGTCCCTTAGGTTTTAGTTAATACCAGATGTAGTCAAGTTGACAACCAAGAAAGCCATCACACGAGATTTTCAAATAATAATAATAATAATAATCTGTTTACATGTCTCATAAAAAATGAGTGAGGAGGGAAACTCTCAGTTCTTCAGTTATTAAAGAATCATCTTTCTAGGATATTGTAGACTGAGAAAATTCTACTTGGAAGGTTCAAAAAATGAAACCAATAGAAATCTTGGATGGAGGAAGATTTTGATACACAAGAAGAGTTTGGTGGCTCGGTAGCTAACTTTATGATGTTGAACCATCTAGGACCTACATCATCCAACGAGATTTGGCTTTCAAACAAGATGAAAAGATGTGCAGAACTCAAAGATAGGGAATGCCTTAACTAAGCAGACCAGTGCTTCTTTTAGATTTTTGGAAAATGATGGTGGAAACCTACTACTTCATATAAAGAGAGAGGCTGCATGACTACTGTCTCTGGTTTGTGGAAGAGAAATCTCAAGGGATTGGAGCAGGGAGGGGCTGTTGCTCCCTTTATCTTGCAGAATTAAGAGAGTATATAGCATATATCTACCATCCTCTTTTGACTGTTGACAATACTGAGGTCCTATATGATAAAGCGACTTTCCCAGAGATTCAGGGTTAATAACTTTTAGGATTTTTGATAGAAATGGAAGCATTATGACCCATAATATATGGCTCTTAAATCTTGATGGCAATTCTCTTGGCAGGATCTAACTGTTCATCAAATTTTAGCTTTTTCAATTTGGGAAAGTTATCAGTACATAAATTCGAAATTCTTATTTTCAGGTTTAGGTAACATGGAAGTCAAAAGGCCAAGTTTCATAATTAACTAATTTCTGAGTTTTAATACAGGTTCATCTAACCTACTACTTAAGCTGTCTTTATGATTACAGTGGTATAAATTTTATTCATCTTTCAACTCTTATGGTCCTGAATACTGAATTCTGACTTTGCTATTTCCTATTCATAATATTCTCAATTTAACAGATACTCAGTCCCAATTTCTATTATATTACTTTAGGAAGCAAATTTCACACAGTAGTCTATGTTAATACCCAGGATATTCTGCTAGATGCCAACAATAAAAATGGTAAAATCAGACATAATTTATGCTGACAATGAACCTAAGAGTTTAATGGGGAGTAAAAGCATTTAATATGGATATTAATGCTATAAAATTTTAAAACTTAAGAAAAATAACACAGTCTAATAAAAACCACAGTAAAGACTGTTAACAAATATTTTAACTTACTGAGCATAGGTCAGACATGGGGACCTATGGGCTTAAAAAGGCCATAATATAGTAATACTAAAATGTAATGAATGGTCAGGGAGCTGGAATGGCAGGCTACCATGTCAGACCTTATACAATATGAAATATAAATGGAGATATTAAAGGTTATAAATTGGATAAGCAACATAATCTCCTTTAGAGAGAATGGTCTAGTGGCATATAAAACTAGAATTAGGAAGATCCTCGGTTTTCTAGCAATTTCTACCATGCAGGCAAGATATGATGAGTATAGATAATAACACAGAGAGAAGGAATGGATTTGAAAGACATTTCACTGCTTTTTGAAGGCAGCCAACGTAAGATAGGTTGCCCCATGACAGGTACTGGAAATGAAGGAACTTATTCACAAGCCATGACAAACATACCACTGAACAGGTGCAGCCAAGTGCTTAAGAGGCAGCAGTCAATTGATTGTGAGCATCTCTCTGAGTTTACTTCCATACAAAGATTGTTTATCAAAGACAAGAGCTGATATTTTTAAAGTGTACAAATGTATTACTAAAATTCGGCAGGAAAATTGAAGTAACCATTTAGAGCATCGCCTGCCAAGTACCTGTTGGCTTTGCAAACTATTACAATCTATATAGTGTATAAGGAAGGAGAATTTCATCAATGACCCTCACCAGAAGCTCATAATGCATATTAATAATAAAATCAGATTGATATTTAGTATTATTGTTGATTTTATATTCTCCACAGAAGCCTTTCCCCTTCCTTGTTCCCACATCTGGAGCTAGTCTCCACATAACTCAGTCTTTGGTTCTTTGTTACACTATGCAGTTTGTTGTTTAAGACATGATCAATGAATAAGTTTTAACCTTAGCACTATTGACAGGTGGGTTATGTAATTCTTTGTGGAGTCAATAACAATCATGTGGTTGTTAAGGAAGGATGTGAAAAATCCGCTGTAGAAAATTCTACTATTCAGCAATGATTCTAAATTAGACAATGATACACATGGGAGACAGGAAAAGAAGTCACTGAGGTCATTGTTTTTTACAGCTGAGAAATACTCCATTGTGTAAATGTTCTACATTTTCCTTATCCATTCTTCAGTTGAGGGGCATGTAAGATGTTTGCAGGTTCTGGCTATTATGAATAATGCTGCTATGAACATAGTTGTGGTGTGATTGAGCATCCTTTGGGTATATGCCCAAGAGTGACATAGCTGGATCTTGAGGTAGATTGATTCCCAATTTTCTGAGAAACCACCATACTGATTTCCACAGTGGTTGTACAAGCTAGCATTCCCACTCACAGTGGAGGAGTGTTCCTTTTGCTCTGCATCTTCTCCAACATTAGTGTTTTTGATCTTAGCCATTCTGACAGATGTAAGATGGTCTCTCAAAGTCATTTTGACTTGCATTTCCCTGATGACTGAGGATGTTGAGCAATTCCTTAAATGTCTTTCAACCATTTGAGATTCTTCTGTTGAGAATTCTGCTTACATCAGTACCTCATTTTTTAATTGGATTATTGGGTATTTTGATGTCTAGTTTCTTGAATTCTTTATTTGCAGGCAAATGGATAGAACTAGAAAAAAATTCTGAGTGAGATAACCCAGCCCCAGAAAGACAAACATGGTATGTATTTATAAGTGGATATTAGGAGTAAGTATAGGATAACCAACCTACAATCCAGTCTCAGAAAAGCTAGATAACAAGGAGGGCCCAAAGAGGGATACATGGATTTCCCTGGGAAGGGGAAATAGAAGAGATATCCAGGGTAAACTGGGGACAGGAAAGGGAGAGTGGAGGAATGGGAACTTGAGAGAGTGGGTGGGGTGGGAGTTGGGTTTGGGAGGCAGGCTGGGGGAGGGACAGAGAGGTAGAGTAAGAAAGAGACATCTTGATGCAGGTGCATTTCAGGATTAGAGAGAAAACTGGAGCCAGGAAAACACCCAGGAATCTAGAAGGATAACTCCAGTGAGGATTCCTTGCAATAGTGGAGAAGGTGACTGAACTAGCCATCTACTGTAATCAGATTGGTGACTACCCTAATTGTCATCAGAGATACTCCACCCAGTAACTGATGGAAACAGGTGCAGAGATCCACAGCCAAGCACTGGGTGAGCTCCAGAAGACTTGCTGAACAAAGGGAGGAGGGACTATACAAGCCAGGGGGGTCATGATGAGGAACCCACGGAGATAGCTGACTTGAGCTTGCAGGAGCTCATGGTTTCTGGACCAAAAGTTAGGGAGCCTCCATGGGGCCTCTGCATGTATGTGACAGTTGTGTAGCTTGATCTCTTTGTAAGTTCCTAGCAGTGAGTGCAGGACTTGTCCTGGTGCTTGGCTGGCTTTGGGGAACCTGTTCCCCATGCTGGATTACCTGGCACAGCCTTGATGCAAGAGAAGGAGCTTAGTCATGCCTCAATTTGATGTGCCATGTTTTGTTCGAGCCCATGGGAGGCCTGCACCTTTCTGAATGAAGATGGAGGAGGAGTGAGTGGGGAGAGGGGGTAGATAGAAAGCAGGGGGAGGGGGCAGGAGGAGAGGTGGGAAGGGAAACTGTGGTTTAAATAATATAAATAAATAAATAAATAAATAAGAGTCGCTGGCTCATCCCATTCTTTCAAAATGACTTAATCTTGCAAATAACTGGACTGGCAATCTTTACCTAGACTACTGCATCACAGTTTAGTATCTAGGTCACTGGTGATCATGACTAGAGGGTGTTAGCATGGCATTAACACAGGAAGTAACTGATGCAGTAATGACTTCCAAAGAGAAGATACAGAAATAGTAGTTGACTTCACAAAATGAATCAATAATGATCAATTCTCTCCGTGTCTCCCCTTAGAAGGCAGAGAGGAAGGTAAGTAACAATTGCACTAGCTCCTTCAGCTAGCCATCATGACTCCATCCATTTTATTCACAATTTGTTTTTAAGTTACTTTATCTTTCTTAATAATAAAATTATTTTATGAGTGCATATTAATTTTACAACATAATAAGCTTAACTATTACATTTTCATACATAAATATGTCATATTCACCACACTACTCTTTTTTGTACTCACTATGGTTAGGTACAAATATAGTACTGTATTATTTTTAAAATACTGTATTTTAAAAATACTCCTCTACTGCAGTATTTTTTTAAAGAATGGTACACTATTTCTGCTTCCCAAAAGTCTCTCTCTGTATCTCCCTTTCTTTCCTGTACATGAGAAAAATGTGATAATTTGTCTTTCTAAGTCTATCTTATTTCATAAAATTATCTCTGAATCCATCTGTTTTCCTAAAAGTAATACAGCTTCACTCTTGTTTATGACAAAATAAAACTCAGTTGCGAATATATAACTTCAGGTTCTTGAGACATTCATTCACTGGCAGGTACCTAGGCTGAGTCAATACTTTGTTATGATTAGTTCCATAATAAACATGGATGTGCAAGCATCTTTACTCTAAGACAACTTTAATTATTTGGGGGATATACAAGAAGTAGTGTCATGGGTTCATATGTTAACCGTACTTTTAAGGTTCGTTTTTGGGCTTTTTTAAGCCTCCATACTTGCTTCCATAGTGTCCAGAATAATGCATAATACCATCAAAATTGCTCAAGTGCTCCTTTTCCTAAACTCAACATCCTCACCACATTTATTATTACTTACTTGGTGACAGACATTCTGACTGGGGGGTGGGGTCTCTCCTGGTTTTGATGGACAAGTGACCCAACATATCTACAACAAAATTATTTTCTTTTTAATGATAACAAATTTAAAATGTTTTCTCTGAATAGGCTTTAATATCATTCAATTTAGTCTCTCCCAAATTTCTATCTTTATAATTGAATAGAATGCATCAAAAATTCTAAAAACTGGTGATGGGAATGTCATTCTGTACATTGTGAATATATGTTGCTCTGATTGGTTGATAAATAAAGCCAGTTGGCCTATGGCAAGGCAACTTAGAGGAAGATGGGAAATCCAAACAGATAGGAAGAAAAAGGAGAGGCCGAGGAGACGCTGCCAGCCGCCACCATGAAAAGCAAGATGTAAAATACTGGTAAGCCACAAGCCACATGACAAAGTACAGATCTATAGAAATTGGTTATAATTTAAGATATAAGAACTAGATAACAAGAAGCCTGCCATGGCCATAGTTTAAAAATACTATTAGCCTGTGGGTCCAAGAAGCTGTGGGACTGATGGATGAGAGAGAATTATCCTAACCGCGAGCTAGGTGGGGCACATAGAAACTTCAGCTACAAACTGGCTATTAATTTACACATCCATATTCACAGATATTTTGAAACATGCTTCTACTAGTTTAGTAAAATTCACAAGTTTTTTTTCCTCAAAAATACTTGCTTTGTTTCAAATTCAATTTTTTAAAAATAGTACTTTTATTTCAGTAGAAATGTGAGAAATATATTTAAGAAATTTTCACTTTTTAAATTTCTACATCTAACAATGTTTGGGAAACCTTTAGAAACTCATTAAAAATTCTTTATAAAATCTGTTCTAATGATGTGACAATGTCTTTTATTACTTGCTTTATTTAATTTCCTCTGAATTTCTTACTTAGGCTTTTTATAGAAATACTAGCCCTTTTTTTCAAACCTGAACTTAAACACAACCTACTCTAGAAACCTTCTATTCAAATTACTTTGCTTCCCCTATCATGTTTGTTGTGTGACTTTTCCTGGGGCAATGTAATTGCGTATTCTATTCACTCCAAACAGAACCAGCACAGACAGACCAAAGAAAGCCTTGCAAGTCCAGCTCAGTTCATTGGGTTTACTTACCGAAGCATGAGAAACTTAAAGGCAATTACATCACTACAAGAGGCCCGCCCCCGACGTGTGGGAACCGTCAGGCAATGGCATGACTAAAGAGTGTCACTCCAGTCAACTGTTTACTTCACATAATATCAGGAAGAAGAAGGGCCTCGTGAGGCTATCAGAGGCCTTCTGAGTCACGGGAGCCTCTTCCCTCCAGATGAGAGAATGTTAATAGAACTGGTTTCTACAAGGTCCCCTTTGGGTGGCCACAACTGCTTTGTTTCAACACAGACTAAGCAGCTTCACTATACGACTCCACTAGACATTTATACTACTCTTACACATGATAAGATCTGCCTTCCTGCCACAAAATTATTAAACACTATATTTGTCAATTTCTATTCTACTGAATATAACAAATTGTTTTGCAAATTAATGCTTAAAATGTTTATTAAACTGAATCAAAGCCTACTACTGTATTGAAAATGAATTGAAACTGGGTTTAAATGTTTTCTAAGCATAATTTTCAATTGCTATAGGCTTTGGTTCAGTAATCTTGAGCTTTATAGTGAGCAAATGTGTAAATAATAGACACTGCATATCAAATATATGAAGAGAGCTACAATTATTAAATGCATTATCTCATTAATTGTTGAATAATTGGTAATTAGGTGAATGAAAAAGAACAGCATGGTGTTCACAAATTATTAAAATGCTTTATATTCACCTCACATGGCTGTTACAAAACTGTTACCAATGACTGCAGGTGAGGAGCCTTGAACTGCCCCTGTTACCACCACGACCTTTGGCATATTTTTCATTCATGAGACATGAATCCTTCATATGGAATGTTAAGATCAAATGTAGTGAAAATAACCATTTAAGCTATAGAGAAGCAAGTAGTCTTCAAGTGTATGTTGGGTTTCCACTTAATCATCACAACCTGGCAGATTATTATTTCCATGTTTTGCCAGTAGAAATCTGGGTATACATTACTGTGAATATGTTTTATTACCATTGGTTAATAAAAAAGCTGCTTTGGCCTATAGCAAAGCAGGATAGAGCCAGGTGGGAAATCCAAGCAGAGATACAGGAAAAAGAAGGGCAGAGTCAAGAGCAGATGCCAGCGAGCTGGAACAACAAGATGTACTAGATAGAGAACAGGTATTGCCATGAAGCCATGTGGCAAAATATAGATTAGTAGAAATGGGTTAATTTAAATTATAAGAGCTAGTTAGTAACAAGCCTGAGCAATAGGCCAAACAGTTTGTAATTAATACTAAGTCTCTGAGCAATTATTTTTAAAGTGGCTGCAGGACTGGGCAGGACAGAAAAGCCTTGGTTTATAATACATGAATTCTGAAGTGCAGATACCATAGCTGTTAATGGGTAAAACTGGAGATTGGCATTTTATAATCTGATTCCAGAGCTAAAGCCCTTTACTACAACTATAAGTTGCTAACTAAGTATTGGCACCCTCACTTTATATATTGTAAAATTAAGTTTTATAAAATATTAATTAGCTTTTTTAGAATATTGCGATCTACAACTCCAACAATCTGATTTTTTTAGATTAGCAACAAATATAAAGTCATAAATTCAATCAAATTGTTCCATTAAAATTCAAATGAAACTTAAGCAAAAAATGCCAACTTTTGGAAGATGTTAAATTTGTAACTTGAATATTTCCTGTCTCCTACCATTGGTGTCTTCTTTAATATACTTATTAATTGAATCTTCAATAAATCTTGACAGTTTACTGTAGTTTGTGACTCATTCAAAATAAAAACCAAAGTCTTCATCTTTTACCAAATATAGACTCAGAAGACCCATAAGTTCCTTTTTTTTAAGTCATTCACATAGCTTTTCTCAGCTTTCCAACTTCAGCTTTGGTGTGCAATTTAGGAAACAATACTGCCACCCAGAGGAAGAAGGGTTGAAATGCACAGTCAAAAGGAGGAAAAAGTCACTTGCTTGGTTCCGGATTGCAAAAACAGTTGTGTTATGATCTGTGAGTTATGGAATTATTGAAATAATCCAAATACTAAAGGCTATAATTTGCATGTGTAAGAAAAAATGACACGACTCTTGATAGCTTGTGTTTTCACTCTTGATGCAAGTAAAACAAAGCTGCACAAATATAACCATCTTCCTGGAAAAAGTCTATTAACTTTCTAACAGCTACAGTGGGATTCCAAAGTGCACAGAAAATATTCTAGATAGAAAAGTTTGCCCAAAGCAGTCTGCAGAGAACAATGAGAACGTCTAACGACCAGTTCTAGCCTCACCTAAAACAAAGCAGGGCCTGCAAATAGGGCTCTGTAATTAAGAGCACAGGCTGCTCCTGCAGAGGACATGAGTTCAGTTCCCAGCACCCACATGGTGGTTCACAACTGTCTGTGCCTCCAGCTCCAGGAGCCCAGTGCCCTCTTCCAGCCTCTGTGGTGCACATACAGACAGACAGACAAAACAAACACTCATGCATTAAAAAATAAACAGCACCAAAAAAAATACTTCTAGAAAATGAACTTTCAATTTGGCTAATTTATAAATTTTGAGAAATATCAAGTGCTGGTATTTTATCTAGTTACTGCTAATGTAGATACAAACAATAAATTTGGTATATTTATTTTCCAGGCATTATTATAAGTATTTTCCAGAGAGAAGAATTTTCTACATAGCATATTACTAGGAAGATAATTACT